CTGCTTATTACTGGTTCTATTCCAAGAAATACTAATGCTCTTGAAGGGCAGAGAAAAAGCATGTGGAGCTGATGGAAAACTCATTCGTTTGATGCAGAGGAAAGGTTTCATCTAAATGTTTTGAAACTCGTACTTTTCATCTATTCTCACAAAATACCTATACAGATCTGATAAATATGTTTAAATAGAGAAGACTACAGGATTGTACCCTAAGAAAAAAAAAATAGAGTTGTAACAGAAAAGAGCCTGTTTATGCTGCAAAAACACTTTGGCCTGCTAGCTTCTGTGCTCCAACCTAAGTTAAATCAAAAGATCTGTTGTTTTGTGTTCATCTTTTAGAATCAAAGCATTATGTACTAACTTACTGAGAAAAAGAAACAAGTATATGATATATTTTTGCAAGTTTCCCATACTTTTTACACCAATTTTTTTTCCATCATTTTGCATATCATTCCAGTAGTAGAGAAGATAATTAAAGTTGTCTTTTATGTATGTGTTGCTATATGTTAGCAGTACAGAAGGAAAGATTGTAGAGTGCTGTGCTGTAGAAGAAAATACAGTGAAGATGACTTTCTGACAGTGTGCCAGCAGTTTTGTTCATTGTCTAGGCCATTACTCCCCCTTCTTTGGCATGTTTCTAATTCTACAATCAAGTATATTTTTCTATCTCTCTTCTGCTCCAAGTTCTCCCAAAAAAGCCAAACAAGGACCCCTTTGATTCCAAATGCCTTCTTGATCTAGAATGCTGAGGCTGGTTTTGGCATCCAGACCATTTTTTTTTTCTGGTTTTTAAAGATTGCTACTCCCACAGTGGACCAGCTCATCCTGACTGGATGGTATTATTCCTTGGCAGTATGAGAATTAGGGGGCTTTCCATGTTATAGTCTTTTCCTGATGTCTTTTAGAGATTGGTAACAGGCATCTGGGTGATAGCAGCTGAAACATGTTTCTTTACTAAAATTCTGACAAAACCTTAGGATCAGTATTCAAACAATAAACCAGTTAGATTTTGTCATCCTTAAAACAGTTGGGGGTTTTGGTTTGGGGTTTTTTTTTTTAAAAAAGGAAAAGTCGCTGGTGAAGAAAACTTCATTTATTTTCCCTAACTGATGATTTTCAGAAGTAAACTGTCAGTTCATCGTTGTCTTTCTGCAGACATTGCCTAGAAGGAAAAATGGAAGACAAATGTGAGAGAAGCAATGGGATTTATGAAGGAGAAAAAAATGGAAAAATTGACTGTAAAATTGAAGGATATGTAGTAAAAAGGGGGTGATAACCGCAGTAGTTAATTTTACAGTAACCATGGCTAGTTCAGGTCCTGTAGCAGATCAACTTTAAGTTATGAATCTTTTAGTAGTCTGAAACAAGACTCATGTCTTTTATCATTAATTAACCTGAAGTTATTATCGACCTTCATATTCCTTTTATTTGTATTTTAGACTCATTTGTCAAAAAAAATTTCATCTTGAGTTTATTCTAAGAATTTGGAACTATAGTCTTCTAGTCTCAGACACAGATCCTAGAATACAGGAATTCAAGTTTTATCTGCTTATAGCAAAGTGTTAAAATACCTTTTCTATTAGGAGTGTTTTGGTAGTAATAGCAAAACATGACTTCTTCTGGAGAAAACTTGATGCATTTTTGTAGGCATTTTGTGGTTAGATTTAATACCATTATGGAGAAGTGGATTGTAGCACAGGACAGCTGTTTTGATCCATTACATGAAACAAGTTCTATTTAATTTCAAAAAAGGTGCCACTACCAACTAGAAGGACGTTCTCATTGCAGACCTGAGTACATCAGTTGCATGAATCTCTTTCTCTACTACATTGATATAACTAAAGTTGATACTTTTATGTGTAATATTAACGAAAAGATTAAGTATACTTTTCACTATTTTTGAAACAAATTACAGTATTTTCTCAGTTTAAACCAAAATGTTTACAAATTGTTTGCAAAAAATGTCTAAAGAAATTTCTTTACTGAAAGAGTGGTGAATCGTTGGAAGAGACTGCCCAGGGAAGTGGTAGAGTCGCTTTCCCTGGAGATGTTAAAATGTTTAGATGTGGCATTTCTGGACGTGGTTTAGTGGTCATAGTAGTGTTGCATTGACGGTTTGACTTGATCATCTTGGAGGTCTTTTCCAACCTTAATGATTCTATAATTCTATTCTATGAACCTTTCCATTAATATCTCCATCCTTAAAATTAAAAAGA